CTAAATAAGCCCAGTTCCCTCAGCCTCTCCTCATAAGTCATGTGCCGCAGCCCCCTAATCATTTTCATTGCCCTCTGCTGGACTCTCTCCAATTTGTCCACATCCCTTCTGTAGCGGGGGAGAGGGGGCAAAACTGGACACAATACTCCAGATGTGGCCTGACCAGTGCCGAATAGAGGGGAATAATCACTTCCCTTGACCTGCTGGCAATGCTCCTACTAATGCAACCCAATATGCCGTTAGCCTTCTTGGCAACAAGGGCACACTGTTGACTCCTATCCAGCTTCTCGTCCACTGTAATCCCCAGTGCAGCCAAATCTAGACTAGACAAAGCAGGGAACAGACCCAATAGATCTCTTTGGTCTTTGATAGCTTCTTCATACTCACCTTCCTGGGTCTACATAATCGCACCTCCATCTCCCCTCTAAGTTCCTCTTGCCCCCTGTCCTCGTCAGCACCTTCTTACCACTGTCAGCTCCATGCCGTCCCCCCGCCAAACCTGGAATTGCCTCCAAGTTGCTAGAACAGCCCCAATAACCAGCACTTGGTGATCAGAGGAGAAGTTCTCCATTTAACACGTTTCTGCTACAGTGAGAACATTGAGTCCTCCATAGGTTACTGAACCCAGTCCTGGAAACGTGACAGGGACGGGAGAGAGATCATTAAACAAAGATGGATGCTAACGGATGCCCTCCCCTGTTTCTCTTACACTGAGAAAGGGAATTATTTGGTGCAACAGGATTTTCAGACTCTTGTAATGGAAAATTAACTGAGACCGAGATGGGCTCAAATTCAGTTTCTAGACCAGATCTTTGCTCTGAGACGGTAATTAGAGCAGGGGGCTAGGACAGGAGTCCAGCCCACTAGTGACTCATTGCAGTACCACAATCCCAGGACCTCTGTGACTCTGTTTACCCAGAGGTATGTTGTCAAGGGCTTTTAGCGCTCCAGCCGAAGGGAAGCAGGCAATTACAGAGTATCATTATAAAGCAGTGGCCAAAGCCTAGACAAGACTACCTTAAAGATACAGTGCAGGGAGATTGTCTAAGATTGCTCAAGCCGCTCAAAGTCCATTCAAGATAAAGGCACCTCACGCTGCCCTTTACATGGAGATTCTGCTTCCTTCAGCCAGTGAACAAAACAAGGGCGTGAGCTCCTCAGGCAGCACTAGCCATCAAGCAGCTGCCTTGTCCTATTTCCACCAGGCCCTATAGCCATGCCCTTCGTTTCACGTTGCAATCCTCCCCTTGCCAAGCTGCAGGACCACAGGGGCATTCTTCTCACCCCACAGAGGAGACCACCGCACACATCCCTTCACAGGCCAAGCACGACTTCTTTCCTACTGCTGCTTCGCAGCAGAAACGGGCCGCAACCGAATGATTAGATCCTGCAACACTGGGAGTGTACAAATCTGCCTAGACCTCCCCTCCCCTTGAGTTTGAAACCCACACCGCATCTGTGTCCATTCCTCACAGGGCAGGCACAGCTCATGAGTAATGAGCCCAATATGGCTCAGTTTCACTATGGGAACAGGAGATGCAAATCAACAGTTTATCAGGGGCTAGGATCTCAGGCTATTAAGAGCTCAAAATCTAGTTCCTGTTTCAGAACACAGGCACCACAGGGCAGCCTGCCCATCGCTTGGCGTTCTGGTGCCAAGCCACTCACTTTAGTACGCACCACCCGCACGAGCAGGCAGTCACCGAACGCCAAGCGGGGCTGTGCTGGGAGCTGGTCTGTAAGTTCAAGCTCTCCGGTTTTTCCAATGAGTAATGGAATGGTTTTAAAGGGGCCCAACAGGGCAAACTCTAGATCAAGGAATCAACAAGGCTATGAACATGTAGCAGGCTCACCGAGGTAACGGTTAAAGAGTAGAACTGAGTCTATTAGTCCCTCGAACATACGGCATTTATGGAAGCGGGCAGCACGTCCCTGAATATGCTGGAGATTGTTTTCTACAGACACGAAACAACAACGTTGTCCTATGCATAAGGCCCAGAATGTCTCCCTCTCTGTTTGGAGATGATCTATCACAAGCTACACATGTCTGCACTGAAGCGTTAACATGCAATTAACTCGCACTCTCCATGCAAAACCCCAGCACCACTCCAGCAGGCAAGTACCCCCTCCCCAATCTGTCTACAGATCAAACAGGCACAGCTGTGGCTCAAATGGACACAACCATTTAAGTTGCAGAGCTAGCTACACCAGCCACCCTTCCTGCTCTAACCACTAGACTACACTTCCGCTGGGAACAGCGCAACCCACAGCAAACCCTGGTGGGTGGCTGCCCACAGCGGGACTGACAAGTGCAGAAGGTTTAAGACACCAGAGCAGGGGTCTCCAGGCGGGGCACGCCACCTCTGCTAGCTCACAGCCCCAGAGCCACTTGAGCATGGCCGCTGTCACTCTGCTTGGCTGCCATTTTCAGCCAGACCAGCTCCCCATTCACACCCTGGGGTGCAGAGACCTACACAGGGGAGGGGTGAAAGGGTCACACCGCATTCCCCGGCCCCACTACACAGCAGGAGGCAGAGTCACCCCCACAACACCCACCCTGTAAGGCCCGATTCGGGTTAGCCCCACAGCTGTGGGCTCCTGTGGGGGGAGAGCGGGCAGCGTGGCAAGAAGCCAAAGTTGCCCCAGTCGGAGAGCGCTGGCGCAGCGGCAAAGCCAGGCTGGAAATGCTCACCCAGGGGGATCGGCCCGGCCTGAGAGCCAACGGGGCTCAACACCAGGTCCCAGGCGGGCCCGGATGCATGCTACAGAAACACAGCCCGGGCGGACGGGAAGCAGGAAAGCGCCCCCCTCTCCCCTGCGGTAACCGGACGCACCCGGTCCCCTACATCGGCCCGACCTACGCAGCTGCAGAGCAGGGACTCTGCTCCCGCCCCCACGTACCCCCCCTTGCTGTGTAAACCAACGGGTAGCGCGCACACAGCGGTCTAGATCACGCCCCCCACCCGCGCGTCTCCTCCCCAGGTCCAGATCACGGGGCCCCCGCTCTAGATCCACACACCCCACAGGCCTCCTTGAGCCCGGCCCCCGGGCGAGGCGCGACCGCGCTCACCTTGCGCAGCGAGCCCCGCTAGGTCAGGGCATGTTGAGGCGGATTCCGGCAGGGCCCGGGCCCCGGGGCTGGAACACGCCTCGGCCGGTTCTTCTGCAGCCGCCCCGCAGCGAACGTTGGCGACCGTGAGATTCTGTCGGGCCGCGGCGGCCAATGGGAGCGCCCGCCCGTTGTCTCAGCGTTCCGAAATGGAACGACCGGTTGGGTTGCCAATCGCACCCCGCCCCTGCTGCCGGCTCGTCACAGGTGGGCGGAACCTGGCAGCTCTTCGCCTTAAAGACACAGCGGGGCCAGGGCAGGGGTTGGGGACATGGGGCCGGGGGGGCTCAGCTCTAGCACAAGCAGATGGTCATGGTCCTACATACCGAGCTGACAGAGATTCTGGGGGGGAAGTGCTGAGAACCCGCCCCGAGAGAGCCCCCCACACTAGGGTGACCAGACAGCAAGTGTGAAAAATCAGGACAGGGGGTGGGGGGTAATAGGAGCCTATATAAGAAAAAGACCCAAAAACCGTGACTGTCCCTATAAAATCGGGACATCTGGTCACCCTATCCCCCCCCCCCACACACACACACACTACTAGCATCCCTCATTCCTAAAGTAGGGTTGCCACCTATTCGGGTTTTCCCAGGATCGTCCCTTTTTTGAGGTCGCTGTCCAGGGAGTGGGAGATCTGTAAGAGTGTTCAGTACACACTGCCACCTGTGCAGCTTTATGGGCTCAGAGGTGGCAACCGTAGCTTGCGCCAGTCACAGCCCAGGGGGAGCCCACTGTGCTGGGCGTGGTACAAACAGAACCAAAAGAGGGTCTCTGCCCCCACAGGATCTGCGGATGAGACAAGATGCAGCAAGTGAATACAGACAGAAGGGGTGGAGGGAGCACAATGAGACAATTAGCATTGTTTTATGAATTAATATTTGTTAGTTATGATTAATAACCTGTCTCCTTTCGCCCACAAAGACAGCCAGCGTGTGGTGCAGACAATGAAATACATTGAAATCAATTAAAACAACGGGGAGTCCGGTGGCACCTTAAAGATGAACAGATTTATTTGGTCATAAGCTTTCATGGGTAAAAACAACCACTTCATGAGCAGAGCCTAAGGCAGACCTTAAAGGCTGAGGCCCTACCTGCTCCATGTTGCTGTTGAAGAGAGGCCTAGACTGGACTAGGATTCTGCAGACTTAAGTTCTAGTCCCAGCTGGGTGACTTTGGGACAGCACCTTGCCTCAGTTCCCCCTTCTGTGAAATGGGGCTAATGCTGCTGACCTTGTTTGTAAAGCACTTTGAGATCTGCTTGGTATTATTTTCCTAGCAGTAGATGTTCGTCCCAGCGTCCTTCACAAATACATCCCCTCTCGTTCACCGATTGCTGCCCTTCACCCCAGAAATGGCTGCATTTCAGTAGTTTGGGGGGCGGTGTGGATCTGTCACGAGAACGGGAGCTATAATAAAAATGAACAAAGCATCTCTAATGACTGCAAACAACATGTATGAACAATAAGGCTGTAGTGTGTCATTAAAACATTCCACATCACACATGAAAACAGTGAGGTTGCATCACTAGCGTTCTCTTCTCACCATCACTGTTACGGGGGGAGGGGGGGCTCTGCTGGGATACAGGAGGGTATGAGAAGCTATCTAAAAACCGTGCTCGGAGCAGCACAGCTAGAAGACTTCTCAGCTGTAGCTGAGAATGAACCGCAAAGGAGAATGGGGACAGATTTCCCCCTGGGGACCAAATAAAGGGCGATTTGCACCAATGTGTGTGTCTGCACAAGACAGGCAGCTGCAATCACTTCTCCCCCGGGGTCGGGGGGAGGTTAAAAGCAGGCATCCTCTGAGCCTGGGAAATTCGTTAGCACCCCTGTCAATGAAGGGGTTAAAAGAGGGAGAGCCCGGCCTCCATCAAGCTTGGCTGTAGTGTGCGAAGGGCCGGCCCCTGCTTCCTCTAGGGCTGTGTCAATGTAACACCCTGCCAGCAGGAACAGCCAGCCCCACTGGCTGCAGCTGAGAGGAGTAATGGCTGCCACTGGAGTGCTCCCCTTTATCAGGGGGGTGGATCTGAGTGGGAATGACTTCAAGGTAACTCAGGGCCCCCCTTCAACTGGGCTGGGTGGGGGGAGGGGAGTTTAATTCTGGGGCTGGGCTGTGGGCAAAGCCCAGGGCTGGGAGACAGACAGGGAGGTGGCCGGGCAGCTCCCAGAGTCTAGGCCCTGCCTGTTTCCTGCCTGGTTAATTTTAGACAGTTGCTCACCCCTGTGGCTGCACCAAAGGGCCCGAGCTCACGCTTTGAGCTACTGCGGTGGACTTTTATCCTCCAGAGGCCCCCCCCCCCCAGGGATCTGAGCGGGGCCTGTCTCTGTTGAGCTGATTTTTGAGAGAGGAGGAAAGATGGTGTTTAGTTGCCAGAGATGCCTGGCAATTTCCGAGCCCCTTTGTGCGGCCGTGGAGGGAGAGCTGAATGGCTCCCATGGTAGGCCTGTGTCATGTTGGTTCTGGTCCATGCTGTTATTAATGGCTGCAGCAATGAGATTTGGCGTTTGTCTAGCGTTTTTAATCCAGGGCGCCATGCACTGAAACTAATCATGATCCCTGTAAAGGGGACAAGTATGTAAAACAGGGGTTCTCAACTGGGGGCCTGGGGCCCCCTGGGGGGCTTGAGCAGGTTCCAGGGGGTTTGCCAAGCAGGGCCGGCATTAGACTTGCTGTGGCTCAAGCCAAAGCCCCACCGTATGGAGATGAAGCCCAGGTCCTTGAGCCCCGACTTAGCTTCATGGGGGCCCTCCAGGCAACTGCCCTGCTTGCTACCCCCTAACACCGGCCCTGGCTTTTATGTGCAGAAAACCAGTTGTTGTGACACAGATGGGCCGTGGCGTTTTTACAGCCTGTTGTGGGAGTCTGGGGCTCAGAACCTCTGATGCATCGCAGAGAGATGAAATGACTTGCCCACGCTGGCAGAATTGGGACTAGAACCCAGGCGCTGTTGTTCCCAGTCCCCTGCTCTAACCCCACAATCGTGTTTCCTCCTTGGTAATGCTGCTCTTCGGAGTTCTGTTTCCCCAACCGAAGCTCCGACCAGGGGTTGAAATGCTGCTGGGGGCTGGTAGTCCTTTGGCCATGCTCGCAGGTCACCCCTGTTTCCCTGGGCCCATTACTTGCCCCGGGTCACAAGTGATTTTGCTTGTGTATGTCAGACATAAGTGATTCACCCAGCTTTGTCCCATGGTGTGACATGACTGATATTTTGTGCCTGCAACATCTGACTACACTACTAAGAAGCTTGGCCCCTGGGATGACCCAATGTGCTACATGTATACTGATTCCTACCAGGCATGAAACTGGAACCAGGCCTGGCAGATAATGAGCTCACGCTGGCCCATGCCGGTCGCTGCATTTGAGGAGCAGGATTGCAGCTCTGCCAGCCCTTGATGGGGCCCACAGAGATTTTACCTCCTCTGAGGTTAAAATTCAGGTTCTTCCTTTGCGATTACCCCCCCACTCCCACCCAACAACTGAGCCCTCCCATTCCAGTGTTGGCATACCTGACCTGGAAGGTAGTTAAACAAAATAATAGCCACGTAGGCCCTGGTCGTGCCAGCGGGTCCGTGCAGGTGGGCCCCCGTTGGTATGATTGGGGACGGGCGCAGGGGTCTGTCTTGTGAAGTGGCTGGCAGGGTTGTGGCCTCCGCCTGTCACTGGGACCCTACTGCTAAGCAGGCCCTTAAAACGCAGTTGCACAATCTGGGTTAAGCAGTTTGCAGATTAGAAAGGCCTTTTGTTGCGGGCGCGTGCATCTGCCCCTCCTCTCCCAGGACGGGGCTCTGGAGGCTGGATTGGTTTTTAGAAAAGAAATCGGCTTCCTAACAGAGGTGGCAACATGCCTGCTAAGGCCGTGATCCTGCAACAACCGAAACTCGTGCATGACATCACTCATGGGAGCAGCTCCCTTGAAGCCAGTGAGCAGACGCTTGTGAATGAAGTTACACGTATGCTTGGGCCTCTGCAGAATCAGGGCCAGCTGGTGTCAGTTCGTGTGATTTATGCTGCCTCCAAGTCCCCTAATCTTGCGTAACCTGCCTGACCATTGCTCCATTCATACTCCGCTATGGAGATGTTCCCCTCCCCTATGTCAATTCCCAGGGCCAGTCCTAGCTGGGCATGTGTGCACTGGGATAGTTTCTCTAAAACCTGTAGACAAGGCACCTGCCGCCACCTGTATTCTAAGCTAAGAGGGCAGCCGCGATCCTTGGCCGCATAAGCGGGGAAATAAATCATAAGCAGGGTGGGGGAGGGGAGGGCTCGAAAGCCACACAGGCCGGACAGCAGGGGGCTGCTGTTGGGGTGGAAGGTCCCAGGGTAAGAATCCCATGTGGGAGCTGCAGGATGTTGGGGGGCGGGAGTCAGGGGCTGAGAGCCGTTGGGGTGGGGGCGGCGGGGTGCTGCTCAGAGTCCCGTCCAGCTGTCTCTGCGCCGATCCGATGCGTCAGCCTCATGGTAACTGCGATGGCCGAGTGCATTTCATTGGGAGTTTGATAAAATAAGTCCTACCCAGTCAGAACGGCCTGTCGCCTTGGTATGTTTGGCAGGGATCTTGGGAAAGTGGCCTTGGTTGGTTTCACACCTGGGGTGTGGTGGAGGGTGTTAAGAGCACAGGATCTGTTTCATCTCAGGTGGATGGGAAACCTGGCAATGCCCATTTCTGTGCCCATCGGCTGCCGTAAAATGCCTCTTTCTCTCCCGGTCTCCTCTCAGGGTGGCTATTTTCCTGACCACGTGAAGTCCATGACCAGTTTGCGATGGCTGAAGCTCAACAGGACGGGCCTGTGCTACCTGCCGGAGGAGCTCTCTTCCCTCCAGAAACTGGTAAGAGCTGTGCAGAGACCTGCCAGCCCTCGCTGCCACATGGACGCTCCTCTTGGGAAGCTGGGCTTTGGGAGGGGGTGTGAGTTGTAATGCAGGTGATCACATGGAGCCGTGGAGCGCCAGTGAACAGAGCTGGCAGGCTTCAAACAGAAAGCGTTGTGGGCAGGCAGACCCACCTGAAAGCTTCCCCTACAATCATCACCCTCATAATACCTAGTTTTTAACTAGTGCTTTTCATCCATACAGTCTCAAAGAGCTTTGCAAAGGAGGTCAGTGTGATTATCCCCATTTCATAGCTGGGGAAACTGAGGCACGGGGAGGTGCTGTGACTTGCCCAAGCTCACCCAGCAGGCCAGTGGCCAAGCCAGGAATAAAACGCTTGTGGCTTGGTCCGGTGCTCTATCTACTAGGCCATACTATCTTCCCTACTGTGCATTCCAGTGTGCGTGTGTACACACCCTCTTTAAGGGTGACCTGCAAAGGATCTTTAAAAACTGGGCTTGGGTCTTTTCTTTAGCCAAAGTGCTCATTAGATGTTGGAATGAAACCAAGAATGGAGTCCCCCCTGTGCGAGGCGCTGCACGGTCTTTCTCTCCTGCCGCTGCTTGGCTTTCACTGTCTTGTGATAAGAGGAATGTGGTGGATTCACCATCACTTGAAGTCTTTTCAGTCCAGACTGGGCGTCTTTGTAAAAGATCTCTTGTCACTCAATCAGAAGTGATGGGCTTGATGCGGGAACTGCTCTGTGGTTTTGTGTCGCCTGTGTTCTAACTAGGTAATTCCAAGGCCTTGGAATCTGTGCATCTGTATCATAACTTCACTAGTTCTCCATAGAGCCTTCCTTCATAGACAAGATCTGACTATCTAGTGGGGTTGGCAAACGCACCTCCTTTCCGGCCTGCTTTCTACATTATAAAGAAGCAAAAATCGGCTCAAATCCCAATTTTGTTTAGTTTTTCTTTTCAGATTCTCTTTAATGGAATCCCGTCAGGTTAAAACTCTTGTTTATACCCATGCCCCCAGGAACTCGCATGATCTGTGTGACTGATGCTGTCCTAGATGTCAGTCTAGCGGCTGCGTGCCTGCCTGACCTCACTCACGTGAATGGTCTCAGGGATGTCAGAGCGATGATACACAGGGGTCAAGTTAAATTTGCTCATAAGTGTTTGCGAGAGGAAAGCTTTTGCTGATTAGAGTGGAGTGAACGTCTTTAAACCGGATTCACCAGTCCTTTGATTTGTTTGTAACCAAACAAAAATAGTTCAGTCAATTTCACTTCTGTTCTTTGCCTATTCGGTTTGTAGTCAGTTTCACTTAGAGGTTCCCGTGTGATCTCTCTATACCTAGTTTTTAAATAGTGCTTTTCACCCATAGATCTCAAAAGAGCTTTACAAAGGAGGTTCTTCTCCATTCAAGGCATTTATCTTAGCCCCCCCCCCACACACACACACAGTCTTTTCATATAGTTATCCTCACAACACCACTGGTGGTAGGGAATGTGGTAAACTGAGGCACAGAGACTGTGGTGTGCCCAAGACTACTCAGGAAGTCTGTGGAATCGCAGGGAATTGAAAGACCCTGGGTCTCCTGAGTCCTATCGAGGCCACCCTGCCGCTCAACAACATGCTGCGATGTTTGGGCTGCAGCAGGGCGAATATTTAGAAAATAAATAAATTCCAGTTTCCGTTGGAATGAGAAAAAGCAAACGCTGGGAACTCTTCTCTAGCATCCACCTGCCGAGGGGTGTCTAGGGCCTATAAAAACAATGTTTGGCAAAACAAGCCGGAGTGTTGGGGACTTGACTGAGGGAGCCTGCCTGTGTTCGGAGCATGGTTTGATGCTCCAGCTCCTGACGGGAGGACGAAACCAGGATGATCCTTTATTTCCCTTTGGAAGCACCAAGATGCTAGGTCAGTAGTAGCCAGTCCCTGCCCCAAAGAGCTGGCCAGTCTAAGGAGACAAGGCACCACAAGCCAGGGGAAGGGGCAGAAGGGTCAAGCAGAGTCCAAACGGCCTGGCAGTGCCCCGGTTTCTTTTCATTGTGTTTTATAACCAGGCGTTTTGTTCTTCGCTTTCCAAACAGGAGCATCTGTCTGTGAGTCACAACCACCTCACCACGCTCCACGGAGAGCTCTCCGGCCTGCCGTGCCTCCGGGTGAGTAACCCGCGCCGCGTCCCTCTGCGCCAGGAGAGAGCGTTTCTCTGCAGACGCTCGGCAGCCAACCTCTAACGGCTGGCCTCTCCTCTCCCGCTGGTCGACATGAACCCGCCCCGGACGCGTCAGTTGGACAGATCCCAGATTGGAAGCCCAGGCTCCCTTGCCAAGCCTGGGCCCAGCTGGGCCAATGGACGAGCTCGGAGAGCTCCCCAGTGCTGTCAAGTGGCACCCATCCGAACAGGGCCAGCGAGCTCTTCGATGTGGCCTTAGAAACTCGCCCCGCTCTAGAGGTTGACTCCTCTAGCTGCGTGGAAATGCTCCGGGGCTGCCTTGGCGCGGGGGTTGGTCTTGTCTGCAGTTACCGCACGCAGGCATCCTGCGCTGCTTCTCCTTTTGCACTTCCAAGGGCGAGTGCCAGTGCCTCCCCTGGGCCTGCGCGTGGCCGCTGTCGCCGGTCCGTCTCGCGCAGGGGAGGAGGGATTGGCTGCTCTGGAGCCGGATTCTCCCCACGCTCTGGTCGGGGAATGGTTTGGATCTGCTGCAAACCCCGAAGGAGGGCTTAGTCCACAAAGATCCAACCCCCTTCCCCCCCCACACCGCCCCATGCTTTGGTAACTTCCTGAACCGCTTGCTGTTCTGTAACCCGACCGGCTTCCTGGCTGCCGCTCCCTCAAGGGGCTGGCACCCTGGGTCGCTCTCAGGCAGAGGGCCTGGCTGCCGGGGCCGCGTGTCTTTTGTTTAAAGCGTCTCGTTGCCGGGGTCAGCGGAGCGATGGTGGGGCTGAATGGTTATCCCCCCCACCAGGGGAGAGGGGCTCTGCCTTCTGGGGCTCCCCGCCTGCGGAGGTCCCTCTCGGTGCACCTGTGCCCACGTCGATGCTGTCAGCATATTTAAGGCTTTAACCTCCCGACAGGGATGTCACGATGCACTTGGAAACCCCTGTTGGAAAGTGGCGATGGGATGGCTCACTTGATGGTTACCTGCTCTGTTCATTCCCTCTGGGGCACCTGGCATTGGCCACTGTCGGGAAAACAGGAGACTAGGCTAGATGGACCTTTGGTCTGACCCAATATGGCCGTTCTTATGTGGCCCAGCATGGAGCAACTGTGGAGATGCAGCCTGGGGCTCTTCCGGGGTGGGGGTGGGCGCTGGTGCCCTTCTCTGGGGGTGGGGGAGGCTGGATGCCCTTAACAGCCATTGGCACTGCTGGGAGCTGAGAGGAGTGGGCCCTTAGTCTGGCTGAAGCTTTGTTTGGTGGTGGGTCGGAGGAGATCCCTGAATGTAGCACTGTGGCTGAGAGGCTGAACGGGTCGGTATCCACCCCCTCCCCCAACCCAGGGCTTCCCTTCCATATGGCAGGAGCTTTTCTGTTCTCTCCTCTGATCCCACCCAGCTTCTCCTCTGTCCCCGTTAGCCCTCCCTTCCACATGCTGCCTCCCTCTGCTAATCCTCCTCCTCTGGACCCAGCGGGACCTGCTCACGTCTGGTCAGTCTTTGTCCCCCCCCGATGTAGGTGCTGAGTCAGGGGCTTGCGAAGGCCTGGGCCGTGCCTGGCTCCAGAGCCGTGACTATAAATCTCTCTTTCCCCTTTTAAGGCAATTGTGGCTCGAGCGAACAGCCTGAAGAATTCAGGAGTTCCTGATGACATTTTCCAGCTCGATGACCTCTCGGTGCTGGTATGTGCTGCCTGTTCGCTCCGGGTCCCTCCTTGCTCTCCTAACCCAATCAGTGCAGTGAAACTAAAGAAGCAGAGAGATTCCAACAGCATCAGTGGGGAGGGGAAGGGAATCCTAAACCAACATGTTCAATCAACCCAAGAGAGAGGCAGCATTGTCTAGTAATTAGAGCAAAGGGTGCGAGCCCAGACTCCAGGGTTCAATTCCTGCCTCTGCCTCTGCCACTGACTTGCTGTGTGACCTCTGCCAAGTCTCTTTGCCTGCCTGTGACACTTTTTAAAATGGGGATTGTACCCATCTTTCTGAATTGCTTTGAGTCTGGGCACATTCATGCATGGTTTAATGCTATACAGGCTCAGTAAATCCGGGTTTTAATAAATGGCTCCTCGGTTGTTGAAGTCCAGTAGCACCAAAGGTTGCTTATAAACTAGAGCTTAGAACGATCTCTAACCGCACCTACTGCTGTGCTTATCCCCTATAGCTAGGCGAAGCAGCATGTCATTTATTTATTTTTAATTTGACAATTTCAGTGAAAAATAATCAACGTTTATTTTTAAGCATTTTTTAGATTTGTATCAATTTAAATTGTCTCAATTGTGTGAAATTATGGGAGGGGGTCAGACAGAAATTAGTCTATGACGGTAGATGTTGAGATTCAAAAAATTTAAAGCTTTATAACTGTGAAAACACAAATTGTCAACATCCCAGGTCAATATTTATATAAAGTAAATTTCCTTCGATCAAACTCCCAAGTTCTCAAGCAGCATTTTTCTGACATTGCCTATCTGTACATTTTGACGGTTGGAAATATTTTTCTGGTGGTTAGTGTGTGGGTGTGGTGAAATCCAAGTTTCCAGTAAAATTGAATCCTTCCAAGCCTACCCAATACCACATTCTACCTGATTGTTTGCAACATGCTTATCACCTCTATTAATCCTTGATTGACCCTTTACAAATGTACGCGTGCCGCAAGGTGTGACTGTCCTGTTTACCGAGGGTGAGCCTGTTAAAAAGTGCCTAACGCCCATTGGCTTTCCAAGGGAATTGGGAGTGTAACTTTCTTCGGCAGGTTTGACGGTCCCGGCTCTTATTAATAAAACCTGGCTGTTGTCAATAGGGCTCACCAAAGAACCCAGCTAAAGACAGTATAATGGCTTCATTCTTGGATCCCCTTTTTAAAGGGACAGGCTGTTAACTCTGGGGCTGGGTTCTTCTTATGTGTCTGTACAACAATGGAGCCCAGATCCTGATTGGGACCTGAGGTTATCATTGTGTGTATTATGGTAATGCCCAGTTTGACCTCTGCTCAGGACCTTAGGGCATCATGGTAATACACTTTACCATAATACACATCATAACCGGCTTGCCCTCTAAATTAGTCTCCATTTTAGTCTGCTCAGGAATAACCTTGGGGATTTCTAATCTTTCTTTCATAAACACGATGATCTAGCTGAGAAATAAGTAAAGGTCCAATAAGCAGCCACCGTTTTGGTGTGAGACACCAAAACCCCAATGTGCGGGAGCTCCCCACGGGTAGCTGGCAGTGGCTGACTCCATGAGTGGCGCCGATGCCCCCTGAAGGGAATCGACGAAGGACAGCTGTATTGGAAATGGCACAGTACATGGCGTCCTTGTGACCTGCTGGGCAGGTAGCACAAACCACGGCTAAGGTCAAATGACTGGAGGCCGAGTCCTGGCTTTGGATATATGCACCGATCTATCAGCAGTGTGGCCCTGAAGATCCTTGCGGTGGCAGGAGGGGACTGATTTCAGCCATGGGAGGGGGGCTGTTGCTGGGCGGGCCACTCCGTGCCAGCTGGGATGGAGGGGTTCTCCTGACAGCTCTCTTGCTTCCCCTCCCCCAGGACCTGAGCTACAACCAGCTCACGGAGTGTCCCCGGGAGCTGGAGAATGCCAAGAACATGCTGGTGCTCAACCTCGGCCACAACAGGTGGGTCTGGTTGCTCCGGGGTTCCAGCCACGGCTGCGTGCAGGGGGTTCCTGGCTGGGCAGGCAGGCGTGGATTTCCCTGTCAAACAAACCCCCTCTCCGGATCTGGGGGAGGCCTGCGCCTCTGGGGGCTGGTGACGGATGAGAGAAGGGAGGCAGAACTGACGCAAGGGGCACTTGAGAGCCGCTGGTGAAGATCACTGGGTGCTTGTCCCGTGCTGCCCGGTTCCTCCATGTAAATGCCTTCCCTCCCTGGGCCGGGGAAGCCCGTGTCCCTGTTGGAACCTGAGAGAGCCCCAGTCTTTGCCTTGCTGCCAGGATCGTGCCCCTGGCTGTGCTGGGTAGCTAGGCTGGGTCACCTCCTGCTGCCCTGTTGGGGCTGCCCGAGAGCCTGGGCGTGTGTCAGCACCCAGTTGGGGGCAGGGGGACTGCTGCACGTGGAGACCTGAGCTAGCGCCAATAACCACAGCAGTGAAGCGGCAGCGGCCCAGGTTGTATGACCCTGGCCTGTGCGGCTTCACTGGCCAAAGACCAAAGCCAGCCCGGGGACGTCTCCTCATGCTGCGGACACGTCGGATTGCCGTGTAGACTCTCGGCACGTGCAGCGCGGCCCTGGGGAGCTCCCTCCGTCCCTCCCCCTCTCCCGGCTGGTAAACCGAGCGTGGCTCGTCTTTCTCCTCCAGCATCGATAACATCCCCAACCAGCTGTTCATCAACCTGACGGACCTGCTGTACCTGGACCTGAGCGAGAACAAGCTGGAGAGCCTGCCGCCGCAGATGAGGCGCCTGGTGCACCTGCAGACTCTGATCCTGAACAACAACCCGCTGCTGCACGCTCAGCTCAGGTAGAGGGGTGTCCTGCTGCGCCGCCGGGGTGGTGCGGGCTGCCGGCGCTCAGGAGAGGTCCCCTCAGGCTGGACTCTCTTCTAGCCGCTCTCCTGGGAAGAGACTTGTCCGGCCAGGGATCCGGTTTCTTGGTGGATTTCTGGTTGCATGGGGCCGCTGACAGACAACCAGACAGGCCTTCTCCCCAATAAACGCCCGAGAACCCAGCCTGGGGGGCCCCTTCGCTCCTCTCCAACGAGCCCTTTTGGAAGGGACATGGCCAGCCTCTTGGGGCCTGACCCAGAGCCCCCCGTGACATCAATGGAACCCCCCCCCCCTTTCGCCCCTACTGACCTTCTGAAGCTTGGGATCCGGCCCTTAAGTCTTTAAATAAGACCAGTTTCTTGGACCTCATGGTGCCGGCCAAGCCCTAAAGACTGGTCGTCTCTCTCTGCCTAGCTCTGGCAGGCACAGGTCCTGTCCCCAGCCCTCCACCAGCCCCCCACCAGCAGCACGGCCTCTAGGAAGGAAGGGCTGATCCGGCTCCCACGGCCCAGTCCACCCTTGGCCTCCAGCCGGGTGCGGGGATGGCACTTGTGGAATGGGCTCATGTCCCTGGGGAGCTGGGCGGAAACCCAGCAAAGCTGAGACCAGGTTTAAACCAGTCCTGGCGTGGACGTGCTGCATCCCGCCTCCTCTTATAGATTCATAGACTCTAGGACTGGAAGGGACCTGGAGAGGTCATCGAGTCCAGTCCCCTGCCCTCATGGCAGGACCAAATACTGTCTAGACCATCCCTGATAGACATTTATCTAACCTATTATTGAACCAGAGCTTGGGGTCCGGGATCTCCCCTCCAGTCCCTGGCTCGGCCCAGCGGTGGAGCTCCCCTCACTGCTTCTCTCTCTCTTTCCACGTAAAGGCAGCTCCCTGCAATGACCGCTCTGCAGACCCTGCACCTGAGGAACACGCAGCGCACTCAGAGCAATCTACCCACCAGCCTGGAGGGCCTGAGCAACCTCGCAGGTGAGCCGCCCGTGGAGTTGGGGGCTGAGGGGGCACATGTGGGGAAACGGCACCTCTCCGGGCCTCCTTCCGACTGCTGCCGGGCAACAGGGCCGGTCCAGTGAGGAGGCCCTGTACTAGGAGAAAGGTGTCCCGCTCCCGGCGAGCCATTGGCTGAGCTCACGCCACCCGCATGGCAGCTCGTGTCCACACACGGTGACTGTCCCCAGCACTGGGGACAAAGCTGGCTGGGTGCATCTCCCAGGACCAGGCCTGGCTCATCCTGTCATCCACAGCGGCATCTTCCCTGGTCCAGCCGCTCCTCCTCCCTGCATCCCACAATGCAGTGCCTTGTGTCTGGGGAAATTACCCAGAAGCCCCTGCTCCCAGTACCAGCGTGGGCAGCCCATGGCATAGCTACTCCTGCAGTCCCAGAGTGCACTGGGACAGCCACCTGGTTGAGCCGCATGGCTGGGTGGGGCAAGCTGTTGCAAGGATGATGCCCCTGAAATGATCCTGTTGCTTCTGGCCCCGTCCTGAGCCCGCTGGCCAAGCTCCTATTGGTGGAGCTGGTCCAGGCTCTGACGCTGGGAAGAGTGCGGCTGTTAGATGGGCTGCCTGCCCCGTCCCTGTGAAAGTGGATGCGTTGGGGCCAGGACCTGCTAGATTATCCTGGCATCACGTCTGCGCACTCACAATTACTGTGTAACTCAGCCAGAGCCCTGGGTTCTCCGTGCCTCTGGGCCCAGTCCGGTTGGTGGCTTCACATCCCTTCTGCTCTTCTTCCCCAGACGTGGACCTGGCCTGCAACGAGCTGAGCCGGGTCCCCGAGTGCCTCTACACCCTCTCCAGCCTGCGCCGTCTCAACCTGAGCAGCAACCAGATCTCCGAGCTCTCCCTCTGCATCGACCAGTGGACCCAACTGGAGACCCTCAATCTGTCACGGAACCAGCTCACCTCGCTGCCCGTACGTAGCGATCTCCCCCGAGATGACGTCGGGGAGCTGGCTGGCTTCCCACGGCCAAGCTTAGGGCAAGGTCTCATTGGGACAGGCCTGGTGGCTTTCTCTGGAGCTTGGCCCTTGGCTTGTGAAGCTGTGAATGCCACAGCGGCATCACAGACCCGAGGGGCTGGTCCCCCCACCCCCATCCCACTGGCTCCCCATCCTCTGACTCAACAGGCCTGGGCTTTCATCGCTGATTCAGGCCGAGCTAAGAACTCCTGGGCCCCCACTTACCATAGCATCCGCGCCCCTCATGGTTTGTAATGGGTTTAGCCTCACCGAACCCCTGGGAGGCAGACGGTGCCGTTATCCCCATGGTACAGTTGGGGAAACTGAGGCACAGAGCGGCTAAGTGACTTGTCCAAGCAGCTGGCAGGATGCAGAGCCCAGTGGCCCAGGCTATCGGCTCTCCCTGATCTGTGGCACGTGTCTCGCTCTCTCCCCAGTCTGCCATCTGCAAGCTGACCAAGCTGAAGAAGCTCTACTTGAACTCCAACAAGCTGGACTTCGACGGCATTCCCTCTGGCATCGGCAAACTCACCAGCCTGGAGGAGTTCATGGCAGCCAACAACAACCTGGAGCTGATCCCCGAGAGCCTGTGCAGGTGAGCGACCCGCCGGCCGCCCTGGCCTGTCCGAGTTGGGTTGGGTCCGGGAGGACAGAAGCGGGATCCTCCCCGCAGCCTGGGGCAGAGTCTCCCCCAGGTGGCTGCTGTGTGGGGATAGGGAAAGAAGCCGTTCGCTTGCTTTGGATTTGAGCGGCAAGGCCGACTGGTCCTCTCCATCCCTGTGCGCCTTCTGGCTGCCGGTTACCCACCCCCCACCCCCCGAACACCTGCAAAGGGCGGGACTGGCACCCGCCGCCGTCGCTGGCCTGGGTGGGGACTCGGCACCTCCGACATCAGCCCTGCTATGTGTTGAGCTCAGGTGCCGCTGACGACGTCTGCAGCCTGGCGGCGAAAGCCCCCACCCCACCCCCTGTGAGCTCACAGCCCCCTCCGAAGCCTGGCGGGGGTGGATGACGACTCAGTCTGACTTCTCCAGGGCAGATCCGCTTGGTGCAGATCTCTGAGCTGCCGCCCCCGTCCCTGGCATGTCTGGGACGGAGGGGAGGGAGGAGCAGGTGGGTGCGTTCTGCAGAGGGGAAGGAAGGGCTTTGCGTTTCTTGCAGGCGAAGCTGGGCCTGAGCGTAGAGCAGCGTCCGGGTGGGACGGGGCAGATGGACGACGTACAGAGCAGGGAAAATCTAAGGACTCGGCCCAGGCCGAGCCGGCTTCCCAGCCCCCTTCCATGAAGAGCTGAGCGGGCTTGTGATGGCTCCCCCAGCTCCTTCCTCTGGGTGGCGCTGTCCCCTCTGCCCCCCTGTGTCCTTCCCCTTCTGGGACCCCCTGCCCTGCCCTGCGGCTCCGCATCAGCCCAGCGCGTTTCGGGAGCGGGGGCCAGGCTTCACCTAGCGTCTCTTCTGCCCCTCCAGGTGCACGAAGCTGAAGAAGCTGGTGCTGAACAAGAACCGCCTGGTCACCCTGCCGGAGGCTGTTCATTTCCTGACGGACGTCGAGGTGAGGGACCCTCCGTGCTTCTCCGGCGCCTGCCGGGCAGACATCCCAGGCCCCGGGCTGCCATGGAAGCCGGGCCCTGGGGAGGATCCAGGCATCCCGGGGGAGTGCGGGCTGGTGTGTGAGCGTAGGGCACGGCTCCGCTCTTGACCCCTCTGCGGAGGGTAACCCCACCCGCAGCGCCAGCCTGTGCTCCCCACTCCGAATGGGCTGGGCAGGGGGGAGGCTCTCTGCGCCCCTTGCCAGCCATGGGGTGGCCTGAGTTCATGTACTGGGTCGGGATAATCCCATTGCACAGTGGTAGGAAACTGGGAGCCTAACCCCATCCCGGATGTGGGCCTGAGGCCAAGGGTTAAGACCTGCGGCCAGGCAGCAAGGCACTGGGACTACAACGAAGGGACTGTGGGGCTCTAGCCCCAGGCCCAATCCTACTGATCGTGCTGCCCCTCCCCCTGGCCCAGCACATCCCTGGGCAGGAGCTGCTCCGATGGAGCCGTCTGAGAGCCCTTTGCGCCCTCTGCCGCCCAGCCAGGCCTAGCGAGCTGGTGCCATGCTGAAGGGGGTTATGCCATGCAGCACGAGTGAGTGGGGAGACCCTGGATCACCCCTGCTGGGCCTTGCCTGGTGTAGGATCCCTGCCCGCCGGGCCTGCACTGGAGGGGGTGGAGAGGTCCCTGCCGACGACCAGTGTGTTCGGCGAGGGGCCTGTTTCCGGGGTCATCTGATCTGATCTGAATGGCGTTTGCCTGGCTGTGGGCCCTCCTGCCTTGGTGAAGCCCGGGCCCCTGTGCGCCCGGTGCCGGACGTGGGTCTCGTGTTGGCAGGGGAGGGCGTGGCATCCCAGCGCCTGGGAAACGAGTCCCGTTCACCCTGCCCGACTGTAGCCTTGCACCGTCAGACACTGACCCTAAACCCTGATGGGGCACAGGAGGATCCCCTCCCCCGGCCAATGCCCCCGGGGCTCTCCGGGGCAGAGCGAGAACCAGCTGGTGCCCAGGTCTCTCTTGTGGCTGGCGTTTGGGTCACCTCTCTGTCCCGTGCCTCTGCAGATCCTGGACGTCCGGGAGAACCCCAACCTGGTGATGCCCCCCAAGCCGGTGGACAAAACCTCTGAGTGGTACAACATCGACTTCTCCCTGCAGAACCAGCTGCGTCTGGCTGGCGCCTCGCCCGCCACCGTCGCAGCGGCTGCAGCAGGTGAACCACGGGGCAACGGGGGGGACGTCACCTCCAGCTGAAGCTTGGCTCCTGGGGAGCCAGGAGGACTGGGAATCACAGAAGCTGGGAGCAGGGTACAGAACCAGAGGGCTCCTGGCCATGCTGTGGCATGTCTCTCCTGTCGTGGCGCCAGCAGTGCCGAACGATTCCCGCCTTGGCCTGAGAGCGCCCCACGGCGCAGGGTCCCTCATCCAGCCTGGGGTCTTGAGAAGGTGTCGGTGATTTCTGGGCTGTGATCTGCCAGAGCTCACCCATATTGCCCGTGTTCCCAGGGAGCGGCACGAAGGACCCCACGGCCCGCAAGATGCGGCTTCGCCGGCGCAAGGACTCGGCAGCGCAGGACGATCAGGCCAAGCAGGTGCTGAAGGGGATGTCAGACGTGGCTCAAGAGAAGAACAAGAAACTGGAGGTAGGAAGGGGTGGGGCGGGGCGATGAGTGCTGTTTGTCTGTCAGTCTCTCTCTCTCCACCTCGGCTACCTCCCTTCCACAGCCCACGTGCGTCCACCCTCGTCCTGAGGCCAATGCAAGCTGCAGGTGCTCTGTGCCTCTGTCTGCTCGGCCCTAGCTCTCTCCCATTGGACACCCAGGAACGGGGGCGCCCGCCGGTAGAGGCCGCTCCTGAGAACGCAGGCCTCGCTGCCTTGTCCCAGGCCACAGCGGGGAGTCCGCATCGAAGCCAGGATCGGAACTCACAGCATCGTGTATGTTGTGAGCATGGGGTTCAGGACAGGGGCGTCCGTCTGCTGAGGGCACTCAGCCGGCCGGGCACCAGGACTGACCAGGCCCTCCGGGCAGCTGGGCTCAGGACTGTCCCGACACAGCTGCTCCCTGGGTGTCTGAGTCACAGCTGCTGGCGTCACTCCCGTGAGCCCTGGTGGAACCGACGCAGCTCGTGGCCGGCCAAGCTCCAGGGAGGAGCCTCGATTGCTGGGGACCACTCCAGAGGCCTGGCATGAAAGTCGGGTCCCAGCCCCAGTTTGCCCCTAGGAAGATGCTCAGCATCTGGGGCACTGTGGGGTCGAACACAGCCCAAGGTCTAGGTCTAGGGCTGTGAGTGGAGAGAAGCCAGGTGGCGCCTCACCACCCTCTTTTCCTCCTCCTCCTCCCCCCCCCGCCACCCGACAGGAGAACGGGGACATGAAATACACAGACCCGAAGACGCGCCGCTGGGACCAGAGCCTGGAGAAGCCCCAGCTCAACTATTCGGAGTTCTTCACGGAGGACGTGGGGCAGATCCCCGGCGTCTCCGTCTGGCAGATCGAGAACTTCGTGCCCACCCTGGTGGACGAGGCCTTCAACGGGAAGTTCTACGAAGCTGACTGCTACATTGTGCTGAAGGTACCGGCGCTGCTGTGCCCTGCGGGGTGCCTGGAGCGTGGCCCAGGGCCCTGAGCCCCCAATCCCCTGGGGAAAGTGAGCATGGAGCAGCACAATGACTCGTCTGAGGCCAGGCAGGGCCGAATTGGGAATGGAGTCCAGGGGTCCCGGCTCACAGCCCCCCTGCTCTAGCCATTAGGCCACGCTCCTTCCCAGCTGCAGATAGAACCCAGGGGTCCTGGCTCCCTCCCTAGGTTCAAAGGGTTTCCCGTGAAAAGGTTTAATCCTCTGGGCGGGAAATAAGACACAAAATAAAATCCGAGGTCCCACCCTCCCCGGGCTCCCCCGAGGCGAGTGACAGTCTGCAGGGAATGGCTCCCTCATCCCAGTCGCCCCTACGTCAGCTCCAGCTTCTCCCATGCAGGGCACCCCATGCTGTGCCAGGCTGCAGGGAGCGTCCCAGGGCCATGTGGGTAGGCGAGGCTCCTGTGGGTGGCCTAGAGAGCAGGGAAACGCCGTCCGCCCCCCTCCCTCCCCCCCCCCAGCGACCCACTCAGCTTCCTCCAGCCCCACTGACTGCTCTGTCCGTTGGCCTCTCCCCGCAGACGTTCCTGGACGACAGCGGCTCCTTGACCTGGGAGATCTACTACTGGATCGGGCACGAAGCCACTCTGGACAAGAAGGCCAGCGCGGCCATCCATGCCGTCAACCTGCGCAACTACCTGGGGGCCCAGTGCCGCACCATCCGGGAGGAGATGGGGGACGAGAGCGAGGAGTTCATCCAGGTACCTCCCCCCTCGACCGCCCCGACCACCCTCCCTCCCTGTCTTCCTCCTCCTCTGCCCACACCCCCACCCTCTCTACAGCTGCCAGTTCCTCCACACAACCCCATACAGACCAATCCACCCCTGTACAGACCCCCGCTTCCTTCCCCAGCTGTCCCAGGGCTGGAGAACTGGGCAGTCCCCTGCAGCCAGTCCTTGCCCTGCCGGGAGGGAAGCAGAGAAGCCTTTTGCTGTGAGCCGGCCGGCTCCTAGCTGATCCCTTGTCCCCACCCCTAGGTGTTCGACCACGAGATCTCCTACATTGAGGGGGGCTCGGCCAGCGGCTTCTACACCGTCGAGGACGCGCAGTACATCACCAGGTAGGGCGCCGTGGGGTGCACTACTGGCCACAGCCACCCTCTGCGGTGCCGCGATTACATAGCGTGCAGGCACAGGGAAGCCGCCTGACCAGAGCAGAGCCATGGCCCGTCAGGTCTCCGGGCCCAGTCTGTCTCCGCACCCATCCACGGGAGTCCGTCCATTGTCCTCAATGGGAGTTGGTTTGGGCACTCCGGTCCTGATCACATGTCCACAGGATGAGCTTCTCCAGGCCCTCTCTGTTCCCCTAGAGCAGGAGGCCTCATGAATAAAGCGGTTGTCACCACGGGTGCCTGTGACCCACAGAAAGGTCTAAACGCGGCTGGAATCCGACAGAGCGCTTGGGGTGTTCTGTTATCCTGTGGCAGTGAGTTCCAGAGGCCAGGCCACCCCTCGATCCATTCTGAGCCCATTCCTGCCCAGTCCTGTGGGGTGCAGTGTCCCCCTCATGCCCCTGTGGGGGCAGGTTCTCCTCAGATGGTGGGATCTCTCGTGACCCTCCCCTCCCCCCCCCCTCCCCCCAATACTGCGTGTCCTTGCAGGCTGTATCGCATCTATGGGAAGAAGAATATTAAGCTGGAGCCCGTGACGCTTAAGGCTGCTTCGCTGGACCCCCGGTGAGTGCGGATGGGGATTGGAACGCTCTGCAGACACACGGCACCCAAGTCCGTGCCTCTCGTGCGGTGGGGCAGGGGGACTGGCCTGCCAGGATAGGCGTGGGGACCTGCAGACCCCCGTCCGGCAGCGAAAGCTGCAGGGATCGTAGTGATTCAGCTTGTCTGGACCGGAGCCTGCAGTGTTAACGCCGGGGGGGGCAGACGGGAATACCGCGTTGGGCCCCGCGCATTGGCAGAGGCTCTCGTCACCGCCCCGGGTTGGGACTCGGGATATTTGGCTCCATTCCTTGCTCTGAACAGGCTCCCCGGGCGACCGCAGGTGAGGAACGGGGCCTGTCCCGTCTGAGCAGTGGGGCTGCGAGCCCTGCCCTGCCTCCCGCGGGCTCAGGGGTAAACGCCTTCGTTGCCACGAGGGGCTCGGGTGCTGCGATGATGGCGCAGACCCCTCCAGAGCTCGAATTGCCCGCCCCTGCCGGCAAACCAAGCCATTGCTGTGCGTGTTGGCAGCCACCGGGCCAGTAGCTCTCTCCTGGCCCCGCTCCCCCAAGCAGCTACTAGCTGGGGGAGGGTCTCTGCCACTGAGTTCCCATCACAGCTCTTGGATTCAGCTGTGCTTGGGCTCCACGGTGCACCACGCTGACCCCTCTTCTCTGCCCCCCCAACCCCGGCTTCAGGTTTGTCTTCCTCCTGGACAACGGCCTTGAGATCTCCGTGTGGAGGGGGAGCCAGGCCACGTTGAGCAGCACCACCAAAGCCAGGTAGCGTCCGCAGAGGGGCAGCCGGGAGGGGGCATGGCAGGGCCGGAGCCAGCGGGCACTGACACTAGGGGGCGCCGAGTGCGCTCTGCCCCCTTCCGCTGCTCCCGCTCCAGCAGCACCCGTCGGGGAGCAGGGTGATTGTCACACACGCCAGCTGGGCGCTCGCCAGGCCCGCCGGGTAAACCCTGCTCCAGAGCCCGGGAGGATGTGTGAGAGGCATCCGCTGCCGCTCTGCCATCACAGGGCCTGACGACCCCCGGCCACCCGCCCTCCCTTTTGCCCTCATGGGCCGGGCGACCCCCAAGCCGCTTCCTGCAGGGCAGGGCAGGGCATCCCCCCCTCGTCCCCCGGCCTCCCACCTGCCATCACAGGGCATGGCGACCCCCTGCCACCTTCCCTTCCTCCTACCATCGTGGGCCGGGTGGCCCTTCCCCCACACACTCACCTGCTGACGCAGGCCCGGCCTGGTGCCTCCTACTGTTCTGCCGGCCCCAGCAGCGCCCCAGGCCTGGGATCTAACTGGAGTCTCTCGGGCCCCCTCCCCTCCCCCAATCGTCCCGCGCAGGCTATTCGCTGAGAAGATCAACAAGAACGAGCGGAAGGGGAAGGCGGAGATCACGCTCCTGAACCAGGGCCAGGAGCCGCCCGAGTTCTGGGAGGTGCTGGGGGGCCAGCCCGAGGAGATCAAGGCCAACGTCCCGGACGACTTCCAGCCAGCCAAGCCCAAGCTCTATAAGGTAGAGACCCCTTCCCGCTCCGTGTGCCCCCAGGGGCAGCCTCTCTGTGGCAGAGGGGTGCCCGTGCCCTGTGACTGGGCTCTGCCTCGTCTCTCGCCGCCCCCCCTCATCCCTCTCCTCTCTCCTTGGCTCAGGTCGGCCTGGGGCTGGGCTACCTGGAGCTGCCCCAGATCAACTACAAGCTCTCGGTGGAGCACCAGAAGCGACCCAAGGTGGACCTGCTGCCGGAGATGCGACTGGTATGGCGGGGTGGGGCAGGCCGGAGACGGAGGGGTCCATTCCACCAGGCTGTGTGCCAGAGGCCGTGCCCGGCCAGGGTGGAACTGTGCCCACTGAGGCAACGGGGGCTGGGTACGTGGATGGATGATCTGAGATTTGCCGGCCCTCTACCGCCTCCTCCCCCTGCCCCTGTTCCCACCAGGCTCTGGAGCAGGAAATGGCCTGGAGTTCAGGCCCTGCTCGCAAACTTCTCCCTATCGCTTCAGGAGTGGATGGTGCCCCCGAGCGGGAGAGCCGGTCCCTGGGGCGGGGTCCCCGTCTCCATCTCCAGCCCAGTGGGAGGTGGGGACTGTCAGGAAACCCCCTCCTTTTCGGAGCGGGGCCGGGGGCATCAGGGTGAGGATCTGAGCTCAGGCCCTGCTCCCAGCTGAGGATGCTGCCAGGGCCTGGCCCTGAGGCAGGGCGAGGGGCCGGGCGCCTCTTGCTGTGCAGGAGAGTTATCTGAGGTGCTGGGCTGGCAGCCTGTACGGCTCCCTCCCAGGTCCTGCTCTGGGAGTGGGGGGGGATCCCTGCAGGGGGGCAGCCCCCCCGCCCGCTCCATTTCTCCTCTCCCGGTTGCTCCACAGCTCCAGAGCCTGCTCGACACCAAGGCCGTGTACATCCTCGACTGCTGGTCCGACGTCTTCATCTGGGTGGGCAGGAAGTCCCCGCGCCTGGTGCGGGCGGCGGCCCTCAAGCTGGGGCAGGAGCTGTGCAGCATGCTGCACCGGCCCAAGCACGCCATGGTCATCCGCAACCTGGAGGGCACCGAGTGCCAGGTACGGGGGCGCTGGGGCCCGGGCTCGCCTTGCCCCTCGGGAGCGGCCAGTGGCGCTGTGCTGGGCCTGGCTGGGGAATCCGGGTCTGGCCAGCTGCCGCCCTGGGGTGGCCCGACCGGTCTGCGGGGTGGGAGACGGTGTCCGTCGCGCTTCCCTTCTAGCCATGCCGGGAGCTGCCCTGCGGGGAGGGAGCCCCCTGGGAGAGGCTGAAGCGCCCCGTGCCGGCGTGTCTCTCCTTCCCCCCCCCGCTGCAGGTGTTCAAGTCCAAGTTCAAGAACTGGGACGACGTGCTGAAGGTGGACTACACCCGCAACGCGGAGAGTGTGCTGCAGGCCAAGGGGCTGGCCGGCAAGGTGAAGAAAGACGCCGAGAAGAAGGATCAGATGAAGGCTGACCTGACGGCGCTGTTCCTGCCCCGCCAGCCCCCCATGGCCCTGACGGAGGTACGACGCGGGGGTGGGGGGGTAAACGAAAGACCCTCGGGGGAGTCATCTGGGCCCTTCCTGTCTGGGTAGGGATGGGCTGGGACCCTCTCTGCCAATGCCGCTGCCCTAGGCTCCCCCTCCTGAGTCCTTGGGCACCAGCATTGTGGCCCTCCAGCTGGCCATGGGGCAGCCAAGGCTGGGGTGGGAGAGAGAGGGGGTGGGCTGGGGCTCTGGCTATGCCCTGGATCTCTCCTTATTTGGGCGAGGGGGGGAAGGCCATTGCAAGCCCCCCCCTCCCAGCCCCGTTCTCAGGACCAGGACTGGCCCCAGGGTCCCCTAGGCTGCCATGCAGAGCGCTAACTGCTAGGCCAGCTTGCCGCCCATTGCAACGTCCTCCTAAGTGTGCGCGTCTCTCCGCGTGCGGCACAGGCGGAGCAGCTGATGGAGGAGTGGAACGAGGACCTGGACGGCATGGAGGGCTTTGTCCTGGAGGGCAAGAAATTTGCTCGCCTGCCCGAAGAGGAGTTCGGACACTTCCACACGCAGGATTGCTACGTCTTCCTGTGCAGGTAACACCCGCCCCTACCTTCTCTGGGCAGCTCTCGCCTCCCTCCCGCCGTCCCCGTCCCTCAGGCTGATCCTCTACCAGCGGCCCCCCCAGCCCCCGAGTGAGCGTGGCATGGGGTTGCTGGGTTGGGGAGGCCAGGAGAGAGAGCTCTGGGATATGGTGGGACTGGGGCTGCCCTCCCCCCACATCACTGGGCTCCCCGCCCCCTATGCTGACAGGTACTGGGTGCCGGTGGAGTACGAGGACGAGGCGGAGAAGAAGAAGAAGAAGAGCGGTGGCAAAGGGGATGGAGAGAGAGGGGAGGAGGACGAGGAGGAAGAGGAGGAGGAGGAGAAGCAGCCGGAGGAAGACTTCCAGTGCATCGTGTATTTCTGGCAGGGGCGTGAGGCCTCCAACATGGGCTGGCTCACCTTCACCTTCAGCCTGCAGAAGAAGTTCGAGAGTCTCTTCCCTGGCAAGCTGGAGGTGAGCTGGGAGCCTGATTTTTCCCCCCGCCCCAAGGGCCACACCATGAGCTGGGAGCCTGTGCACCTCCCCCCCCACCTCAGCTCTCAGGACCCAGACTAGGAGCCCCACGGCCCCTGCCCTATATATGCCCTCCCCTGGGCTGGGAGCACCCCTTCCATACAGCCCCATGGGCCATACCACGAGCTGGGCTGGAGCAGGCGAAATCCCATTCCCCAAGGCCATTTAATCTCCGCTGCCTGGGGCGGGACAGGACATTACCCACCCATCTCCCAGCTGCAGGGCTCAGCCTTGGTGCCAGCTCCCAGAACCCTCTGGGGGCTGCTGCCCACCCCGGAGGGGGGGCGGGGGGGAGCTTCGAGCTGCCCTGAGGTCGGTGTGACACTCAGGTGCTCCCGTTGGCTGGGGCAGGCGCTGCCGACCTGCCCTGGCTAACAGCCGAGGATCCAGGAGCCCGTGAGGGTGACGCAGGCCTAGCCCCTTCCGGCTGGTGGCTCAGCCAGGTGGCTGGAGCATACGGCTGAGTCTTCCTGAGGTCAGGCGTGTTCCTGCGCTCGCCTGCAGGGGGCAGCCTGCTCCTCGGGTGGCTGCATCCCAGAAGGCAGCTGGGGCAGGGTCTCATTTGCATGTAGGTACAGTAGCTCCTCGCTTAACGCGGTCGTTCTGTTCCTGAAAAATGCGACTTTAAGCGAAATGATGTTAAGCGAATCCAATTTCCCCATAAGAATTAATGTAAATGGGGGAGGGAGGTTTAGGTTCCAGGGAAATTTTTTTTTTTCACCCGACAAAAACTATATACACACACCGTCTACGTTTTAAACACACAATTGAATACTGTACAGAGCGATGGTGATTGTGAAGCTTGGTTGAGGTGGAGGAGTCAGAGGGTGGGATATTTCCCAGGGAATGCCTTGCTGCTCAGTGATGAACTAGCACTCGCTGAGTCCTCCAGGGTTAACCCATTGTTGTTAATGTAGCCTCACCCGCTACAAGGCAGCAGGAATGGAGGGAGGGGAGACAGCATGGCAGAGAGAGACAGACACACACCCTGTGTGTGTGAGAGAGAGATGCGCATTGCCCCTTTAAGTACGCTGACACCACACTCTAAATACATTGCCTTTAAAAAGATCAGGAAGTTGAGACAGCAACTGTGGCCGGCTCTCTCCGTCCTGAGCCCTGTTGTCTCCCCCCTGCTCTATATGGAGAAGGGGTAAGCAGGGGGGCAGGGGGGAGGGGGACACCCTGACATTAGCCCCCTCTGGCCCCCCTGCACAGCAAGCAGGAGGCTCCCGGGAGCAGCTCCAAGGCAGAGGGCAGGAGCAGCATATGGCAGGTGGGGGGGAGGGACAGCTGAACTGCCGGCAATTGGTAGTCTGCTGGGCAGCTGCCGCACGGGGAACTTAGGGGAGCGGGGACCTAATGGGGGGG